AACCTGTCCCACCGGTAGCACCCGCCGCAAAACACAATTTTCACAGTGTTAGTTGTCTGACACAACTCAGCAATAGCAATACACCTGACTTGTGACAGCAGTACACCGGACAATCAAGAAATGTTTGGGCCGAGGAAGGGGGGGGGGGGGGGGGGGGGGGGACACCTCACTGTGCCCTGACCTATGGCTCTGGGTAAAAGGTCAGTCAGCCATGGTAGATGGGGAGACCATAGGGTGATTATCTATCTCATTATCAATATATCAGGCATACATTTATTCATTTATACATATACACGTTGAAAACATGCAGATCTAATACACGATACGAATGTATCTTTCAGAATATGTATCAGACAATGTTTGAAGATGTATGTAGACCTTAACAAATGAATGTGTTGATTATATCAAGATTCAACAAGCAAAAAAATTTATAAGCATGTGTATCTTCATATGTTTCTTGCGCTGTATCTTATCGTGTATTTTATCTGTATATGTGTAGTGTGAATTTATGAATAAACTAATACCTGTAACAAATGTGACAGATTCTAGTGAGTGAGTTAGGTTTTACGCCGTTTTAAGCAATATTTCAGCAATATCATGGCTGGGGATACAAGAAATGGGCTGCACACATTGTACCCATGTCGGGAATCGAACCCGGGTCTTCATCGTGACGAGCGAACGCTTTAACCACTGGGCTACCCGACCGCCCCTACAGATTCTAGTATTGTTTGGGGTTGTGTCCCATTCGAGGCCCACGCACAAAGTACGGGATCTACATGAAGACCACCAGTTGTCGGACTTACATATTTGTGTAGAAGCCCCGGTGGCTGAGTGGGTTAGAACGCTGACTTTGTGTGTTAGCCATTAGGTTCCTCACTCTGGCAATGTGGATTCGAATCCCGAATGGGTCTCAACTAAAACTGGTTCTAGAATATGTACTTTACTTAGAAAATGTTATCGCAAATATAACACTTTCTAAATGGCATTGTGTGTTCTAATCGTATACCTGATACCCTGCAACAGACTATAGTTAGGCAGCCTTTAGTCTCCCCCCTACCCCCCCCCCCCTACCCCCTTCTCTCTCACCCCCCCCCCCCCCCCCCCCCCCCTCCCCCCCCCCCCCCATTTACTATGGATGAGTGCCCTTTTACACAGAGCGATAGGTGAGGGCACAGTAAGGTGTTCCCGAGGTTACAGTGAGGTTAAACCGGGCCGAGGCATTAAAACTGCCCCCACAGTGTAGCAAAACAAACACATTTCTAAATGTTTCTCTTTACTTAAAGAGAGCAGAATTTCTGCACTTGTACACAGCCGACGTAATTCAAAATTAACTTATCGTTTTTAGGTTCAACAAAATCAGGAAATGCACTATCGTGCCACTGGATTGTCTGGTTCGTCGTCGCGAGGCGGGAGTACTGTTGTGCAGGTCAGGCAATAAACAATCACTTACTTATGTACAAATTGTGTGTGGTGGGCGCTACCCATAGAATGGGACATGATTACCATTTTCACGAACACCTGGTGTCATCACTGATTTTCAGTGATCCATTTATATAATTTGTACTGCTATTTTGCCTTTTGCGCTAAATAGAATCGGTGTTAGCGGATAATCGGCTACTCGCTAGCGTTTATGTTTTATATTTAAAGAGGTGGTAGCAGCAGTGTTGAAGTGATTGGTATCTGTAAGCATGGAAGTAGTGGTCTTAGAGGGTCTAGTTTATAGGGTGTTTAACGAGCTGGTAGCAGGAGTGATTATAGTGATGGGTATCGGTAGGCAATGGGAATCGGTAGGCATGGAAGCAGTGGTCTTAGAGGGCCTGGTATATCAGGTGTGTAACGAGGTGGTAGCAGCAGTGTTGAAGTGGGTATCTGTAAGCATGGAAGCAGTGGTCTTAGAGGGTCTAGTATATAGGGTTGTGTAACGAGGTGGTAGCAGCAGTGTTGAAGTGGGTATCTGTAAGCATGGAAGTAGTGGTCTTAGAGGGGTCTGGTATATAGGGTGTTTAACGAGGTGGTAGCAGCAGTGTTGAAGTGGTAGCAAGCAAGCAATGGTCTTAGAGGGCCTGGTATATCAGGTGTGTAACGAGGTGGTAGCAACAGTGTTGAAGTGGTAGCATGGAAGCAGTGGTCTTAGAGGGGTCTGGTATATCAGGTGTGTAACGAGGTGGTAGCAACAGTGTTGAAGTGGTAGCAAGGAAGTAGTGGTCTTAGAGGGGTCTGGTATATCAGGTGTGTAACGAGGTGGTAGCAGCAGTGTTGAAGTGGTAGCAAGGAAGTAGTGGTCTTAGAGGGGCCTGGTATATCAGGTGTTTAACGAGGTGGTAGCAACAGTGTTGAAGTGGTAGCATGGAAGCAGTGGTCTTAGAGGGGTCTGGTATATCAGGTGTGTAACGAGGTGGTAGCAGCAGTGTTGAAGTGGTAGCAAGGAAGCAGTGGTCTTAGAGGGCCTGGTATATCAGGTGTGTAACGAGGTGGTAGCAGCAGTGTTGAAGTGGTTGCAAGGAAGTAGTGGTCTTAGAGGGGCCTGGTATATCAGGTGTTTAACGCGGTGGTAGCAGCAGTGTTGAAGTGGTAGCATGGAAGTAGTGGTCTTAGAGGGTCTGGTATATCAGGTGTGTAACGAGGTGGTAGCAGCAGTGTTGAAGTGATAGCATGGAAGCAGTGGTCTTAGAGGGGCCTGGTATATCAGGTGTTTAACGCGGTGGTAGCAGCAGTGTTGAAGTGATAGCATGGAAGCAGTGGTCTTAGAGGGTCTGGTATATCAGGTGTGTAACGAGGTGGTAGCAGCAGTGTTGAAGTGGTAGCATGGAATCAGTGGTCTTAGAGGGCCTGGTATATCATCTGTGTAACGAGGTGGTAACAGCAGTGTTGAAGTGGTAGCAAGGAAGCAGTGGTCTTAGAGGGTCTGGTATATCAGGTGTGTAACGAGGTGGTAGCAGCAGTGTTGAAGTGGTAGCAAGGAAGCAGTGGTCTTAGAGGATCTGGTATATCAGGTGTGTAACGAGGTGGTAGCAGCAGTGTTGAAGTGGTAGCATGGAATCAGTGGTCTTAGAGGGCCTGGTATATAGGGTGTGTAACGAGATGGTAGCAGCAGTGTTGAAGTGGTAGCAAGGAAGCAGTGGTCTTAGAGGGCCTGGTATATCAGGTGTGTAACGAGGTGGTAGCAGCAGTGTTGAAGTGGTAGCAAGGAAGTAGTGGTCTTAGAGGGTCTGGTATATCAGGTGTGTAACGAGGTGGTAGCAGCAGTGTTGAAGTGGTAGCATGGAATCAGTGGTCTTAGAGGGCCTGGTATATAGGGTGTGTAACGAGGTGGTAGCAGCAGTGTTGAAGTGGTAGCAAGCAAACAGTGGTCTTAGAGGGTCTGGTATATCAGGTGTGTAACGAGGTGGTAGCAGCAGTGTCAAAGTGGTAGTAAGGAAGCAGTGGTCTCAGAGGGGTCTGGTATATCAGGTGTGTAACGAGGTGTAAAAGGGGTTACTAAGCTAATTCAGTGGCGGGTTAGTCAGGGTGAAAATCTAGGAAATCATGCGACGTGTCAACTCTGAAAATCACAAGACGTGCTGCCTGGGACTCCGACACAAAGTAAGTGAGACCTGTCGGTAACAAAACCGGAGCCATTTGCTGCGTTCTGATGTTAGTACGTAAACGAACCGACCCGCGCCTTTGTACATAGTGTGTACACATGGCGTGCCGGCGGTCTTCTCTTTACACATTCAACACACACAGTGTCCCTACCAAGTGCTTATATTGTCGTACTCATTTCCCAGCCACACTTACTGTCACGTACTGTACTGTGGCGAGTAGACGAGGCCATTCACCTGTGTTTCGTAACATGTCCGTTTTGACCGATCGTAGTCAAAACACTAAATCTATTAATTACGTTTTTCTAAGTTTTCAACTATTTTGCAGTAATGTTATGGACACAAGCCTGGTACAGGACTGAACCATCAGGTGTAATATCTGTACCGGGTGGTCCTGGAATACATAGTACTGTAAAACCCCGTTAATCAAGACGACACCGTCCACATTGGTTCGTTCGGATTTAACATTGGCCCGGATTAAACGAACAGGCGGGCGTCCGTCTATAACGAGCTTTGACTATACAACAACAACAACAACAACAACAACAATAATAATAATAATAATAATAATAATAATAATAATAATAATAATAATAATAATTATTATAATAATAATAATAATAATACCATGAATGGTAATGCAGAAGGCTGCAGTATTGGGAAGTCTTCACATTCTCCGAAAAGTTCTTGATGGGTTTGGCTAGGCAGCGTTTCCTGGGAGAAGTCACATTCGCTGTCTGGGCTGCGTGTAGAGGGGGTAAGGGCCCTGAGCTGATGATGAGCCTAACCAGCCTGACTGTGTCAGTATCACACAAATCCTCTTTGCTGCATTTTTTATTTTAATTATGTACATAAAAATGATGATTAATTAATGCTTTTCTTAAGGTTTGTTAAACTATTTAGTGTGGTATCATAATGGGCCTATTTTCTGTCAGCGTATATGGTCGTGTTTCGATGCCATTGGGACCATGAATAGGGAACGTTGGAACTATATGGGAACTTGTTTACTTAGTCTGTCAACAAATAGTCCTTCGATCTCATTATATGAGTGTAGTGAGGTGAAATTGGATTTAAGGTCGCGTTCAAGATTATTGCACTTATATAGATACGTGCAACACGTGTGTATGTAAGTGTGTGTTGTACTAGCCCGGATTAATGCCAGTTCCATAGCGCTAGCCCACTGAGATACCATGAATACCCCACTCAGACGCAATATACTCACTCCGAGCCGACCAGTCCTTGTTTTATCCCCTTAATGCAGAGCGCCAAGCAGGATTAAAAACAAGTACTGTTTTTTAACGTATTTTGGCCGGGGCTCGAACCATCGACGTTCCGCTCTCCGGACAGACGCTATATCAACTAGATCAAGGAGACAGTCTCTTACTTTGTGGAAGTCAACTGTCGTAAACTGGTACTCACCATGGCATCATAGCCAAGATGGTTCATGAAAGCTGCAGTCCCGGGTCCCATGAACTTGTAGAACCACAGCGTCCCACTGAACTGGTCCCCTCCATCGAGTAGAAGAGTGTTGGGTTGGGCGCTCCGAATCTCCTCGATCTTCGTCTTGAGACGGGCGAAGCCCCCATAGCATTTCCCCTCCGCTACATGGGCGGGGGAGCACTGACCACTATACTTGTTGGTCTGCTCGATACGGGCGTGGATGTCGTTGGTGTGGAGGATGGTGAGGTTGAAGCTGACGACTACAGAAGGCAGGATGATGGAGAGGAGCGGGAGGATGAACATGTTGAGACCAGGCGCGAGCGAGAACTGTCACCTGTCTTGAGCGTCGCAAGTATTTAGGTACCCAATGCGTCGAAGCAGTACATACCTGTGCGGGTAGATCAAGTTCCCACAGGCAATCAAGCAATTCACTGAGTCGCTGTGCATGCCGTTTTTTATTGGCCTTCAAGGCCGCCGTGAATATGAACGGCTTAAGTGGTGGAAGCTACACTGTGAGGTTTTCTAAATAACAATAACATGAAAACGAACACTCGGGGGGACACGTGAAACAGAGATAGCGCGGGGCGTCGTCTATTTTCCTTTTTGAGATAAATTTCTGGCCGACTCTCTAGACACGACACAAACAAATGCGACTTAGTGTTCTGCTAAGATGGACCATCGTTAATGATTGGTTTAACTGCAGATGTATCTTGCAGCATACAACATAAATACAGAAAAAACAATGTGCCTACACACATCTTAGTGTTTTGTTTTAAATCACTGGGCTTATATTATTTTTTAAACTGATATTATATTATTATATTGTACTTGATATCCTTATCAAGAAAATCCTAAAGTCGAAGGGCCTCTGTGCACTGTAAAGATTTGTTTAGATTCTAAACAAGTACCTTGTCCCATCATTTAATGGCGTTTAAGGGCTTAAGCATGTTTACATTTTAAACGTGTTTAGAATTGTGTTAAAAATATAAACAAAATTTCTTCAGAATATATACAGTAGATGAACATAAGTACTCGAGTTCGTCACTTTCAATATGGCAGTTGTTTTGTTTACAATCGTTCGCTGCTGATTTAATTTTCCTCCCTCCAAATGTAAACAAACGAGAATATGCACTTTCTCCATTAGTCATTAACAGTCCCCAATTTTCATTGTATACACGACTTGACACAGCGAGAGCGGAAGGTCCGGGATTCTATCCCCGGCCGCGTCATACCGAAAGACTTTAAAAGATGGCACTTGTTGTTGCCCTGTCTGGCGCTCGGCATTTAGGGGCTAAAGCAAGGACTGGTCTGCTCGGAGTCAGTATACTATGTCTGAGTGGGGTATTCATGTTAAACTGCGGCATGGTATCTCAGTGGCAATATTCCAGCGATATGACGGCGATCTGTAAATAATCGAGTCTGGACCAAACAATCCAGTCATTAACATAATGAGCATCGATTCACGCATTTGGGATACGATGATATGCATCAACCAAGTCAGCCAGCCTGACCACCCGATCCCGTTAGTCGCCTCTTACGACAAGCATAGTCGCCTTTTACGGCAAGCATGGGTTACTGAAGAACTATTCTACCCGAGATCTTCACGGGTCAAAAGGCCTTTAGAAATAGGAGCACCCCCAACTGAAGGACACCAAGTGGCTGTGTCATGCAAAATCGTACTGATGAAATGCAAACTGGATATATATCCGAAAGCAATAATTCGTCTTAATGGCGTGAAAGACATTTATTTGTCCATATCAACTCACCCTAATGTGTGTTTTTGTTTTTGTCATATTGTTCTTTAAGTGGGTTTTGAAAACACTTGAATATGTTATTATGGGCAAAATTGTATGCCTGAAATCCAGCTATTAAATAACCCTTTTCAAAACACATGCCTATGTTGAAAAAGGGCCAAATCATGGACTTTAATTTGCAATTAATTTTGTTGATATCTATAAACTATTTCAGAAATTATTACCTGTTTCGTAAAAATATGTGTTGGTGTAAAAAAATATATGATTTGCCATAGAAACATGTTGATTACCACGTGTTTTACCTATTTCATGGCACAACAACCACACTTTACTTAAAGGATAGATGTATTCCATCAATACAAAATATGTAGTGACTTGTTATACCTCCGGTTGGCGCTCGACTCTCTGATGAGTCAGACACCACTAGTAATCTCAAGATGTGTACATTGACCCGGATACCTTGTTAATAGGACAAGTTCGAGGACGTGTCACCTTACTTTTCACATCCCCTACTTTAATGTTCCCGTAAACGCAGCGGGACTTTTTTTTAGGTTGTACAAAGCTGAAAATAGTTTGTTTTGTTTTTCCAAAATACTCAGATATTAAGGAAGAGAAGTTATGGATGTCAACTTCATTATTATGAGGAACACAAGGTTTCGGAGTATATACTTCCTCCTTCATCAGGTGAATATATGCTGCTGAGGCAGAGAACATATATATGTACCTGTAAGAACAACAAAATTAATATGATAACAAAGGAGGAAACTTAACATGGGAAGCCAACAGATAATTGGCGCGCTGATAGGTGATTAGCAATGGATAAATGGAGGCCAACGCTTAATTTATTACTGATTGGTAATAGACAATGGGGAGGTCGGGGTAATTAGCATTGATAGGTAATGGAATGGAAATGACAATGGACAAATGGAAGCCAGCTGTTCAAATATTGCAAAATAAACACAATTCATGTGCCTCGTTGCAACATACATTCGCATGACATTGGGCAATGTCGTATCTAAATTATCTTATTTACCTATCTTAGTTGTGGGTTCGAATCCCAGACGGGACTCAACCCCCAAAAGAACGAGAATCTGTACTTTACCAAGAAAGTGTTATACCAAATATAACATTTGTTACATTTGACCACTTTCTAAATGACATTGTATGTTGATTTCTATCTTACTTACTCTATCTTATATCTGCCGGACAAAGAAAGTATCCACTTGAAAAGTGTATTCCTCGGCTGAAAACAGTCACTGAAGCACTGCAATCTTAAGGTCAAAAACACATATGTGATACCATTATCAAATACATCACCACGAATAACCATTTCTTGTTGGTGTCATTTTAGCTATCATCAAACGTGGTTGTATTGCTCGGCAGTTTGCTTGTATTTGATTCCCTCGGACTGTTTCTAGGTTTGTCAGCCTGTGGTCGCGAGTATCACCATCGTGAAGAGAGACTGAGATATGCGCATAACTTTGAACTTTCGCTCTTTCCTCACACAAGCTGACACGCCGTGATATGACTGAAATTGTCATAAAAGGCGACGAACGTAGTCGGGTGGTCAGGCTCACTGACTTGGTTGATGCATGTCATCGTATCCCAATTGCGTGATGTCAATCACTGGATTGTCTGGTCCTGACTCGATTAGTTACAGAACGCCGGCATATAGCTAGACGATTGCTTAGTGCGGCGTTAAACAACAAACAGAATAACAGAGAGACAGTTCAAAGCGGCGTTAAACCCGACTCATTCACCCTCTAAATTACTATAAAACAGAACATCATGCATTCAGATAAAAAGAAGCACCCATAAAAGGGACGCATATGCTTGGTGTTTTATTTGTTAATATCACAGTATGGTATTGACCGCCCACTTGGTCGCCTGTATAGGGAGGGGATAGTATGTGTTTGATAAAGTAGATTCCGACACAGCAGTATTGGTAACAAAGCGCCCTTGTCGTCCAAACGACGCATAAAACATGTCTGCTCGGACGAATATCCCACCACAACTATGCTGATAGTTTTAGCTCGAATTATATATTTCTAAGTAAACATTATGATATCGGCTCGTTTTGGTTCACATTGCCCGTGCTAACTGAATGAGATATGTATCCTTTTATCTAGCTACCCCGTGGGAATTCCCCGGTAGAACATGTCACCTATATGCATGAAGAAAACCCTGGCAAAAGGGGATCGGATGGTCGGGCTCGAGTGATTGGTCATCAGGCCTTCCTGTTTTGACCCGCGAAGATTCGGGGAGAGACTAGGTCTTCAGCACTCGTGCTTGCCGTAAGAGGCGACATGTGGAGTAAAGGCCACTTCCCAAGATCCCAAGAGTTGCGTCCCTTGGGCACGCCAGAAGCTATGATTGTTGGTTCGAATCCCGGTTCGCCCCGATTATGTTTCTAGGTTTGTCAGCACCATACCCGTGCTCGTGGGTTTCACCGAACTGGTAAACGTCTAAGACCTGCATCACTTCGGGCTTTCCTCCCACATTAAGCTGACACGCCGCGATATAACTGGAATATTGTTAAAAGCGGCGTTAAACCCAACTCACTCACTCACTGTTAACTTAACAAAGCAAATAGAGTTATCGCCCTTCTGTAGTGTTCTCCCATGCATTTTTTCGTGTTCGTTTCATTCGAACGTATTCATTCCCATGATCACAATTTTAAACAAATGGCGAAAACAAGACGTGTCGACGGGTATCGATGTAAATAATGACGCATAGACTTGCATACCCCGGTTGTTAGGCCAGGGACTGAACTTAAACACGGATCTAAGATATATGATGGATTGTGTTCACGCCAGCTCCATATTTCGCTGATAATTGACGTTTTGCTAGTCTTGAATTGAAATGTCGAGAACAATCCGGGACAATGACAAACGGCAGCGTCGCTTAGACAAACAACATGACATGTAGCATGAGTGAGTGAGTGGGTTGGGTTTAACACCGCTTTTAACAGTATTCCAGTTATATCACGGCGTGTCAGCTTAACGTGGGAGAAAAGCCAGAAGTGATGCAGGACCCAGACGTTTACCACTTCGGTTAAGCCCACGAGCACGGGTATGGTTCTGGCAAACTTAGAAACATAATCCGGGCGAACCGGGATTCGAACTCACAATCATAGGTTGCCTGCGTGCCCAAAGGATACAATTCGGCACAGCGAATCGCGGCGCCTTAGACAACTGGGCCACCCGTGCCCCCTATGCGTCGCATCAAGAGGTCTTTAGACAGTAAGTTTGATAACTTTGAAAAACTCTAAACATACTGAAATGTGAACAGGATGACACGTGGACAGCAGTCGATAAACATGAAGAAGTGAATGATGTGCTGACGAACAGACTCCAACTGCTAGACGACGTTAGAAAGGAAAGATGGAATGAAAGTGAGAAGAAAGTTATAACTGTGGAAAATGATCTGTAAATGTCTGAAGACACGACGGCGGAGATTTATAAGAAAGTGTTCATAGAGTGTCCACGTCTGAGTCCATGTTCAATCAATTATCGCAAAGATCTCCTTAAAAAAAGTAAAGGTTCGCGATATAGCAAGAAAAAAAAACACTGCAGGGATATAACACTATAGAATGTCCAGAGAATAACCAGTCTCGATTATCCGCATCCCACCGGACGTAAAAGGCAAAACAGCGGTGA